GATGCTTCAGAAAGGAAAGCACAGCTGTATGAACGTATTAATTTTGTATGTTTAAACATTAATTGTATGAACCATCACTGTGTAAAAATATGGAAAAAGGTGATCCCTCGGAAGCATTAAATCGACAAAATCAAATAACATGAAAATTGCAGTCTGTTTTTGAGGGAAAATGGAAAAAAGCAATATTCCTCACGCCCCATTACCGGCTTAAGTGGTATCAAATCCTAAATATTAGTATGCTGGAACACATTTGATACATGAATCAACATTTTATTTATTTATATTTATTGAACAATATTAGTAAAGCATATTGTAAATGGTCAAAGGCATTCAATATGCCGGTTTGCCAATAAAAGAAAGGATTGATTTATTTCGATCCATTTCAATTTTCATGTAAATGAAATAATAATCATTAAAACAACGAACGGTACATGTTTCTTAAATTTAAGATGGACTTGAAAATTAACCTTTTAGTTTTTTGTTCATATTTCATTCATTTAATTTAGCATTGGCTGACAGCAAAGTGGCCTGTAAAATCTTTATGTCCATTGTGATAATTTTTTACAGATTTTGCAATTGACAGTCTTTTTAATTGCTGAACGAATTCTACAAAAATATTCCATTTCTATTCAAAGGAAATAAATGTGTGGCCTGTCATAACATATGTTCACCAATATATATCTATTATATCAATATTTGTAAAGAATAATATTGATAACATCTAATATACTGTTAGCAAATATGTATGATTAGCTATCAGAAATTATCAAAATTGATAATTAAAGTCACATTCTGGCGATATTGTCGATAACTGCACCTTTTCAATCATATTAATAAAATATATTATACTTTAAAAAATAATTATTCTTGATACAAAAAGATCTCAGAAAATGTATATTCATAAAGATTGGCCAACCTATTTGGTTTCCGAAATGTATGCCATTCATTTGCGTCAATATTACTTTATTAATCGATAGAGAAGAAAATTCATTTAGACGCCGATATACATTGGGTGCTAGTGATTCAAGTCCTTCGTCCTGATTTATTTGTCCATTCTGCCTTACGAGCAGACGTCTTTGTCAAAAGCAATCAGTCTATGTCATCGCAGCCAAGAAGCAGCTGTAAAGTGGTACTAGAATTCTAGAGAGAGTGGGGCTTACAGCAAGTGCTCCGTTATATATTACCCCTCTTGTAATTACACCTTGTAGCGCCTCGGGAAAGTGGATCTGATTTACGGCTTTTACGACTTCTTGTTCGCAATCGTCTCCAGAAGCATCGTCAATAATACAGTGATATTGAAAATAAGTTTAAAACTATGAAATCCAAAATTAAATCATTAAATGGCCATTTCATGTTTTGTTATTTCTTTCTGTTTTATATATGATTATTTATATATATTGATAACAGTATCATATTTTTTCTACCATATTTTCTATCCTTTCAAAGCTTAAGAAAAAAATAAAGAAATACTCATAAATGCCCGATTTTTTTAAAAAATGCGGATGATATTTTATTTTTCGGAATAAATATTTTTTTTTGAAAAAGAAACACAGTTACAAGATGGACAAGTTGATATAATAAAAGGAGAAGGAAGCTTGTTTTTATTTATAAAAAACAGAATAAAGAAGATGATGATAATACTGTATAATGCTAATAAACACGACCCTTTTCTTGCTTATAAATACAGTCGATTTTGATATTACTCCAATACTCGATTGACCTGTGTTTTAACGATTGCTGACAGCTTGATATTTTAGTTACCTATAATAGCCTAAACATGAAGCCTGTCACTACTTACCCGACCATCTCACAATATTTAATTTTTGTACCAATTCTTCATTTACAAATCAAGAATTATTCTTTCTGATGAAGTGAGCTAAACATGAATATAGAATAAGTAGCGGCTAATAGAATTTTCAATTTTAATTTTTCATTTCCTTTACTATGTTCATTCTAATTAAATCAATGTATAATGTGATACATAGTATAGAATCTAAAATATTTCATTTAATGTTTTAATATGTACTATTCTTATTAAATTGTTGTTCTGATACTGTGTATATGAAAGTGTACAATAAACAAACTAATTGAAATGTTTTTTTTTCTGTTTTAGTTCTGTCGTTTGTTATATTATTATTGCGCGTCTACATTTTTCTTCTCTTTTACATTCTCCATATAGTGATTTTGCTTAGTTTATGCAAATTTATCTTACTTCGAATGTGTTTAGAATCTATAAGATTTTTGAAATACTCCCGAATCCGTTCCCGGAAACCAGTACTAAGCAATGAATGTTAAGTTTTTGCTCAAGGAAACAACGGCTTGCCCATGACAGGGTTTGAACCTTTACTTTACTTTTATAGCAAAAGCGCGGAAAAACAAGCACCATAATAACAAAGTCAGTACTTTCAAGCGATACAATTTTTGCCTCTCGTGAAATTTATGTAAAATAACGTTTTATTGCATCTAAAATTAACCGAAATCTGTGCAAATAAATAATGATTTTACCACAATTTGTTTTACGAACTTAAAACAGAAGGGTATAGTTTTCGTATAATCAATCAAATATAAAGAATAACGAGTGTATTTCTATCAATCAAACTTCTAATTGAATACTACTCAAAACAAGCCGTCTGAAAATCACAATAAATATCGTCATATAACATATGTTTAAAGAGAAATGTTGAAAACAACTAAGAAGTGAAACATTTGTTGCTCATGATATAACGAGTTATGATTGTGTATTATATTCTTTTCTTTGATTCCACATTTCAATGATAAAAAAACATTTAGAAACGCCTTATCACGTTATCATTTAATTCAACATTTTCAAGGTAAAATCCTTGCAGACTATATATAAATCGGTCGAGCATGCATTTGTAACAGAGAGGATAAAAACAGACTAAAATCAAGGGTCTAACCTGGGTGTCAACGTTTCAAATTGACATTTGTTATTACTGATTCAGGCTAATCTATAACTATAGCAAATTTGTTTTTTCTTTAAAGAAAAACCTTTACCTAGGGAATCTTATTATGTTTGCGTATGTTCTGGCTTAAAGTCTATCACCTCTCTCTCTACACACACTAGACACTCGAATCATTTTCATTACCATGATTTCTTACTTATTAACAGTGACATTTTATTTCCTCATTTCTTTCATTTTCATAACAAAACCCCATGTTTACTTAGTGTATTAAGATAATCGACGCTGGAACGCAATAAAAAGGCGTGACTCAATGCGCCGACTGGAGTCACTTAGTTGACTCCGAGCCTTGGCGTCTTTGCATTACTCCAAAGTCCGACGAAGACCCCTTTTGTTTGCTGGAGAGGTCGGCTTAATTTCTTTAATGTGATAACATTGTTTGTTGGTTTATTAAAAGTATTGTCTTTTCGTCATCTCTGAAGTGTTTCAAATTCTTACGATTGATCAACTTGTCTTATGTCAACTAAATTTTGATTAAAAAGTAAATATCAAATGAGATGATTGTCAAATACAAAAACATGTGTAAGCAATGCGATTAGACGGATTAACTAAGGGATTGTGTAAACTCTTCGTGAGTGTCTCGCGCGCATCTGATGCTGCGGGCGGTTGCCTCGGTAATAAAAAGGGGCCATGACCTCTTAAAGGTGGGCGTCCAACAGTCAAACGAGCTAGACATCTACGTGAACTAACTAATTTTGACCCAGACACTTTTGGTATAAATTGATAAAAGCCAAGATTAGTTTATACTTCATAATCAATATTTTCTGACAAAGTTGGTTGTCCGACAAAATCAAATTTTTCTTGTTTTACCCTTTGGTACGTGAAACTAACTAAAATAAAGTCATAATATAAAAGACAATAAAGTTCGTAATGACATTTATTTTGAAAGCAGGAATATTCATAAAACTGTACCAATTCAGCTTTGTCTTAAGTAACCGGCTGATCTTTTTTAAGAGCTTCTGTGACATGCTTTACGTACAAGAAGAGTAAAATAATTAAATGCTATGTGTATTTAACTCTTCTTCGGTTAAAAAACAAAACAACTGGTTAAAATATTAAGGTGTGTGCACAGTCTAGTTCGGTGCATTGGAGTGTTTTTGGTTAATAGGAAGCGGCTTTGTGTCAAAATTCTTATATCGGCACTTATTCACTTACTTGATAGCTCCTAATGCGTTTTAAGAGATATTTAAGATAAAGAATTAGACAGGAGAGCAGGAACAAGTACCTTTAATGTTTAAACAAATAACTTCATCCGTTCAAGTGTTCTGTGTCGTGCACACACTGAGGGTTTATTTGAAATTTACAGACAACAGTTTTAACAAACTCCTGTACGGGTTTTTGTAAATTGTAAATTTGCACACAGGCGCAGTTAATGCATTTATAATGCGTATAACACTCACTTTGGATACGGTAAGATGTTGGAAATATGTATCCATGCTTAAATACACTGTCAATGATATCACGGTGACATTTGAAATATGATATAAGAATTAGGTTTAGATATGTTAGAGTGGATTGATTTTAATAAAACAAATTTTGAAAATGTTAAAGATGGGTCGTATAGCAAAGTAAAATATACATACTTAGACTGAAGTAGATATATCTCGCCTACAGTTTTTTAGACAGATGAAATTAATTTTATTTTTACAAATAGTTTTCGAATTGAATTATGCATATATTGTGATATGGTATATTAAAAAAATCTGTAAGGGATCAATACATCCGTAGATGGAAAGGAATCGTCATTTGTACTAATGTGTCATCTAAAGTTGCATTAGCCATTCTAAGAAAAATTAAATATTTGAAAGGGATTGTGTTTTGGCGTCTTTATTCGTTAAAGAGATTTTTTTATTTCTGCACTAGTAGATGAAGTATTAGTCCGAATTAGCCTATGTTATAATGGCACAAGTAAAATTATATGGTTTGCAGTGTAAAATGTGACCTTCTTTTCGCTTAATATAGCACACTATTGCAGCAGGTCTTGAAGACAGTAAAGAAGAAATACACTAAAGAACTTACCAAAGGCGAGTAGAAAGCCGATGAATCTGTATTCAAAGGCATGTAACTCTGAGTCGGGTAATGTGGTGAGGTATACATGCTTTCTCCTAAACCAGGGACTCGGCTATAAGCACTAAGCAGTCCAGATCCGTATTGGCACGAGCAGACGCTTTGTCCTGTATGAGGGTCGGTTATTATTGGCCGACCATTTTCACAGCAAGATGTGTTAAGAGACGATGTAAGAGAAGTCAAAGAACCAGATGGCGCTGCAGGAGGTGGCGGTGGTACTGGTGGTATGGGGGTAGATGTCATCAAAAGCTGCAGAGAGAAAGAGATAAAACACAGGTAAATAATAAATCTCAGAGTTACAGCTACTTCCTTTGCAATTTGTCAGGCGCCACAAAAAAGCATAAGTCATTTTTGCAAACATGTCAGATTATCATTTTAATTATTATAGATATAAGTGCTGTTAGAGGTCGAGCTGTAAAATTGTTCTTGCATGGTAGAATGTTATCTTGCATGTATAAGGTCTGATGAATATATTTGAAATTGATAGACATTTAATCTGAACTTTACTTCTTATTTATTTTTAGAAAATCGTTTTAAAGTAATGCAATTTTAAAGTATGGAAGAGACAAATTAAATTAAATCAGTAAAGATATTTTTAAAGGCTATAAAGATATGAGTACAAATAATAAAATTAACAAAACACTTTTTTTCTTTAAAAAATCAACAATAAAATACTACAATTTGATAAGGAATTTTTGATAAAAAATTAATACTGAACTATAAAAACGTGTTCGAATTATTCTATTCAAAGATCTTGTGGCTTTTTCTTATTCTTCATATTTAAGATTATATAACTATGGTTGTCCTTTTCGAAAGATAAGCAAATTTTGATGAAATTCTAAAATAAACCACACGTGCGTGATGACATTCTTTCTTCTATAAAAATACATGCAATCTTAACTAATGGAATTCCATGATACAGACCCATGAATGTTGGATAAAAGAAAATTTGATAGTGAATATGATATTATATCAACAAGATATATTCAATTAACTTAAACAAAGTTTTTTAATTGACAAATATTTGCAGGCACATTTCAACACGTGAACTAGATATATATCTGAAAGCAAGTTTCTAAAAACAGTCAAATCTTACAATAACTTCACAGCAAAACCAAGTTGAAACCGATATCTGACAATGATGCAGATAGTTGCATTTGGCGTTGCACCATTGCAAAGCATTAGATTTACTCTCAGACAATTGATTTAGATTGCAATGGTTGTCTGTGCCCCAAGACAACATCAAACAAGCTGCAATGGCGTTTTGTTTTACGGGAAAGATTTCAGTGATCCAATGCAATAAAGTAAGGAGGCAAGACCGAGCGCAATTGCACGATTTCTGCGCAGATAACTTGTAAAAATAGTATCTTTTATCTTATCTCGTTGGATTCTGTGCCAGGTCCGAACATGATGGAGTTGGTTTACACCTTGGGTACATGATACTAAAGAAATTTAAATTCAAGAATTCTGTACCTACAAACCTTGTTCCGCAGGAAGCAATCTAATGGAATTTCCAGATAATATAAATAAATATTTGAAAATTAAATTGACCTTTCCAGCGCGTAAATGCCTGTATTCAGTGTCAGCGACAACCTTATTTTCATCAGGAAAAGTAAATCACTTACAAAAAGAATAACATCTTCTTCGAAAGGGACCACATCATCTTAGAACACTTTATCATTTTCACAATACTTATTATCTTTTATATTTAAAGTTTGTGATGAAACTTCGCATTAAAGTTTTATCGTACCTTGTGATACGAGTTGTTTGACGTTCAGTATCACTTATTTATTATCATATTGTCATGACTTTTATTTGTTTTATATATGCAATAAACTAAATCCGCCCATATGACGGATCGATTGTTTAAATTGCCCCTGCTGGTGTATTATCTTGTTTATGTTTTCATTTTCTCACTTTATTCTTAGGTTCATTTTTTAAAACATATAACGATGTTTTGTTGTCAACATACGCTCTGCAAATATTTTTTCCTACAAGATGAACAACTATTTTTGACTTTTACATATTATCAGTTGTATTATGTAACGAAATCATGTTGACGAAACACTAGAGTAGAAAGGATTTGCTTGTTCCACATACCATTTTTGTAACTAAATTATATATGTTAAAATTAACGTATAAATTCAAATTGAAAAATAAGAGAATTTAGTGTTATTTAATTCGACTTTAGAGAAGAATTATTTATATGTGTGTAAACATAAATAATGCTGTGTTTTACATGTAAATAATTTTATATTTCAACATATGTTTTAACATAGTATTATCCAATATTTGCTTATTAAATGTAATTATTTCGCTATTGCGCTATTGCTGTTTTATTTTGCGAATAAGTTCTCGGTATACAATAAGGTAAAACACCATATTAAAACAAGGCAAAACAAAATGTTGTTTTGTATTTATCAGATTTTTCAAACAAAATGGCGAAAGAAGTCCCTTGATTTATTGATTCAGCCCACTTTCATATTTATATTTCATATTCATTTTAAAAAATATGAAATATATTTGACTGATATAGCACCATATTTCATGGGTAAAATCAAATATTTCAACTTATTTTAGATAATATTTCTATATAGTGAATATATCTGAATAATCTTAATGAAATAAATTACAAAGTTTTATAACATTTCAAGAAATAATGGAAATAACAAGGACCTTTGCGTATACTTTCAATATAGATACATGGATATGGGGAAAGAAAAATAAGCCAATATTTGATATATATTAAAAAAGAACATCACACCTCGGTAAATTGTTATTGTACATGTGTTATTTAAGATAACTATACTATACTTATGATGATATCTATAATATGATGACTACTTAAATGCAATATAAAATTCGAATATCACTTTAATATAACATTACGGTATTACCACACCGGCTTTGATATTGACGACTTGCAGACAGCGGTATCCTATATTTCACTGTAGAAAACACCACTTGCCCCTATATTATCACAGACGGAAATGTTGCTTAATTGATTGACGGCTTTCTCTGCTGACTCAATATTTGATGTAATGATGCGAATAATCCCCCACCCACTCGCTCAAAGGTAAACGTTCCCTTATCAAGTGCAAATATAATTGTTTTCCAAATATTGATGCATATCTTTATCCTATTTACAATCGGAATTGTGGTCAAAAATAATTTATTTGTGCATCTTATTTTTATTTTTTTATTTACGTCTTTTGCAAAATATATTACATTTTACTGCTATTCTTGTTGGCTAAAATGCAAGCTTAAATCAATACATTGACAGAATTCAAAAAGCTTAAACAATGATTAAATTAATATAACATGTGTTGTTAAATACTTTTGTGGTTATATTTATTTTACTTTGTTCTTAACATAAATCAGATACTTTAAATATTTTTTTCTCTTCTGAGAAGCAATGTTCTACTAACCTCTAAAAACATTGAGCAAAATATTTGCTGAATATTTCATTACATTACACTTTTCACATTGTATTTCTAATCTATATTTTTTCCTTTTATAGGGTCTTGTGTGCTTTTAATGAATATAATACCTGAATTTAATTCCAAGACGGAAAAATGACAAAAAGAAATTGATCTTCGCCGATAGATTGTCTTTACTACAGGAAATATAAACTTTAATTCATCTTTAATTAAGAGAGTCTCAGAGACACAATCCATTTGGTAATTGTGTGGAATACCTTCTTTTTTATTTTCCTGATTTAGAATAATAATAATTTCCTGATATCACTGATGCTTCCTTAGTTTAATGGAAATAATTGTATCGATTTTTTTTCTTGCAATTATTGAGCTCTTTGTTGTTTAGAGCTTTTATTTCTATTATATCTTTAACACCTTCATGTGAGTATTTTCATAATATTCAGATTAAAAAAACACAACACAACATAAATATTTCAATGGTAATTTTAGATTTTTGTGTTTATTGCTCTCAATAGTAGTTTTCAATGTGTTCAGGAAATGATTTTATAACTAAGCAAAATGCTTTTTATCCGATATGTTTATTATATAATAGTTTACTAAAAGAAAATTCTGAATGCAGGCCGCCTTACACCGCCTCCCGAAGCTTTTATTTATATCTATTTATAAATAAATGCAAAATTTTAATAAAAGATACCAAATAATTGAAAAAAACAGACTTGAAATTATTAAATGTCTATTTAAAAAATATTAAAGTTTAAAATACTACAAATAAGAATCATAATAATTAAATACCAGACCGTATATCATTAATGTCTTAAGGTTAAACTTTAAAATACTTTTAAAGGTTTGGTAAAGTGATAAAACTTTTCGTTTTAGAATATAAAGTGAACTTATAAGTTAACAAGACACGTTAACAATTACCGGTTTGATTAATACAAAGAAATGAGCTTTCCAGAAGTCTGTGGAAATGATCAGGATAAGCTATATAACAGCTCCATGGTAAACTTATACCTATATATCATGTGCATTGATATAAAATCCAAATGAAAAATTTGCTTTATGATTTATATAGCCGATGTGTATTAGGGGTGGTGCCAATATCTAGTTCCTTGACAGATTTATTTGAGAACTTATCTTTTTTATATTCATTTTTGAAAAACAGAAAGATTTATCAATTTGTTGCTGTTCAATAAAAAGCAAGAGAATTTCAAATGATTTCAAAAGTGTTCTTGCAGTTAAAAGGTATTTATAATTTTATTATGAGCATATGTTTAAAATGTTAAATAAAAATGTAATTTTAAACTAAACATAGTTCATGAATTACATAAACTTAAAAAGTACAAAGTTACATCTTTATAACTTATTTACATTATTCTATTTTCGTAACATAGATTATTTATAAAAAAGAATGTTTTATATATTTTCGAGAACGTATACATTTAAAGTTCCGTAAAGTAAGGAAATAACATTAGATTTTGATACTAAAGAAATGTGTTTACAAAATAATAATACATTCTTGTGCAAAAATAACAAGTTTGCTTACAAAATATTAAGTCAAACTGATGATGTTCCATATGATGTTTAAATACAGGAAATTAATGCAAAGTCTACAGTGAAAGTGTTTCTATTATAAAAGAATAAATTATATATTCAAAAACTAAACTAAAAATCATATAAAATAAGTAAAATATTTGCTACCGAGTCATTCATTTTCAATATAAAATGAACAACAATGTCTCCAATACAGAAATAACATTAAAAATAATTCATGTTTGTTATATGAAAAGAACTATATTTAAATTGATAAAATTGTATTTACAATATTTCAGTAACATATGACCATTAATGTCACCAATACATGTTCATTTTGCAGTACAATGATACATTTTGCTTGTTAAACAAGCAAAAAACGTATTATTAAAACTAACAATTGATACAAGACACTTTGTCTTTTTCTTTTTTTTTCTTTCTATTTGTGATACAGAAATAAAAAACCACTCACGTTTGGGTCGGATTGATCCAAGTAATCTGTTTGAAAATTATTTTCCATAGTTATCATTTTGATTTAAAATAACTTAAATGTTCAGTTGATTTTGTATAATAGTTTTTTTTCCTGTATATAAATAGTATATTTAATTAATCCTTTAAATTGTATGTAGTATTCACGTGTATGTTCTTCATTATTAACACTGTCCTTAAACTTTTATCCGCGAAGTAAACGTTCTTGCAAGTTGCACGCGTGTTAGAGAAATGACGGTAAACCGTTTACGTGGTCGTTTGAAATACTGTAACGTTCGTGTATCGCATGGTCATAATTCATACGCTCATACATCTGAACAAATTAAGTCATGATGGGCTGTCAACCAAGAAACGAAAGAAAAAAAATGACTCAGGTTAACTTTTTTATCTATGACAGTCCGCTGGACGCTCATAGCCAAGGGGCAAGTTGGCGCGCTTTTAATTCGAACATTCGACGGCAACGGCGGAACTTCCATGTAAGTCACTTTTTTACATATCCTTTTATTCTCATGTCCGAAATTTAACGACGTCCATCAGCAAAACTAAGGTAGCAGTTAACAATGATATACAAATATTACGATAAACGTTTTTACAGAATGTTTGCTATTTTTGTGCATTATTACTTTTCGAGACTATTTTATTGTTTTGTATGCTTGTAACATTGTTGTTCATCTTTGATCTAAATCGTGTCATTTTTTCTATTGATATTTTACTGTTTCATCAAAAATTTATTACATAATTTATGAGAAGTGTAACTCTACGTTTATTTTCAGATTTCTCAAAATGATGAAAGAGCATTTTGCATCAAATCCTCGCTGCGTTTTCTTATCGTGATATTCGTAAGTGCCATGGCGATGGATATGCCTTTTAAAGTCAGTAGTTTTTCTTAGACTTGAAACCAGCAACATTACTTGAAAGATGTGTTTTTATATGCAGTTTACTTATAACAAAGTATCTACAAACAGTATTAAAAGTTAATCAGTCCATTTATATGAATATCCCGGATATCATTTTTGTCTCATTGTGCTTTACAAAGTAATATGAATTAGGAAACCCAAAAACCGTTGTCATAATGTCCGATTCAGACCAGACACTGATATAGTACTAAAGCAAAACGAGAAAAAAGAAGATGAAATAAATATTACACGAAGCATTACTGCATATTTCCAATCAAACAATTGTGACGTTTGGTTGTTTTAAGATGTTAGTCGTTTAAACAAGTATAGAAATAAGCAAAGCACGACAAACAATACCACATATTGAATTACAGTGACATATATTTTAGACAAGTGCAAACAAGTTAGTCCTGCAGAGACATAAACACTGTACGTATACTGATTACTTTAGCATCATTTCTTGAATCCAATGAATTCATTTGATACGTCTTGGTGATATAGTATATATTTTTTGAGAAAGAAAACTTCTTCAGATGTCTATCTAAAGCTGTATCAACCACTTTCGGATCTCGTAAATCCTCACAAATTATGACATGCCGTTGATTGACAGGCACACTGGGATCTAGTTTGTATTTTATTGGCACTTTCAACATGTGGTATTCATCAGGCATGAAATAGAGAGATAAATTTGTGTTTTGTTGCAATGCTTGATCTGGTCAATCTTAACCCGAGTCTGACCTGGAAGAAATCTCCGTAAAATTTGAAAAAAGCTGGAATTTGATTGAACTGTGTCTAGTTAATTGAGTTCAGAAAACATCGTTTTTCTGAAACTTGCGTCAACAGTACAGTACATGTTAATAAAACTTGCGTCAACGGTGAAATCATCATGGCACCAAATTTAAAGTAAAAAAAAATTAGAAATTTATAAAAATAATTCTTTGAATTGTATGGCATACCAGTCGGTGTATTTGATTAAAACAATGCATCATTTCATTTCAACTTATCAATGCATCTTTGAGAATTTGAGAAGTAGGCAAACAATTCCAAAAGTAGAATATAAATCACAGAACCAATTTTTATGGGTAAAGCTTTTACTTGATATTTAATTTTTAACATTCTCGAATTGTAACAATATAACTCAATAAAATATTACTAGCCAATTTGTCTGTGTTTTCACTTAACTGTTACTTCTTCATGTATGGGCTCCTTTTATCGTTTTTAGAAAATGATGACAATTTTTTAAAGTTATTTTAAGTTAAAACGTTTACAGACATTTTAAATGCTGTTGAAAATTTCTCGAGTTTCATTTGTAAGGTTTTTCTTTACTCATTGACCTGTTGGGGAGAAAAGAACTTGGGAATAAATCCTGAAATCTGAAATAGATGCTATCATTAAGAAAATATAAGCAAAACAGCCCGATTCTCTACTGGAAGCGAGCATGTGCTGGCGGTCGTCACCGGGTGACACATCCCGTTCTACTGACAGAAATTGCCTTTGCATAGAAACAGTAAAGTAAACAATCAACTAATTATAAACAAGAAACAAAAGGATATGGTTTTTGACTATGTTAACGTTTTTAATTTGCTTTTGCAGAAGTCAATTCAAATAAATTATTATCTGTGCTCCAATGGCGTACACAAAGCGTTAACCGGAAAGCAGGAATTCCATATAACCAGGACTATTAAAGCATTCCGGAAAATCAGAGCAAGCGGTATCTTGTTATAGTTAATTTTAAATACAAAGATAATTCTAAATGCGCAGATAATTCGTAACAATTTTAATATAATAGATTATTCATTTCGACGCTGATTATACGCTTATCTGTAACTCCTCTGGGGATAACCTAAACAAATCCGAACACACTGCAACCCCGAACAACACACAGGTCCATGAAAAATAGATGCAAGTCTCAGGCACTTGAAAATATTAGATCACATCTTAATTGGATACACATAAAAACGTCAGCTAGGAAACTGAGTTACAAACTCGATATTCTTTTACAAGAGGACTGTTGAACACCCAGGGAGAAAATTATTGCGAGTGTAGATTTACCAACAATAAAACCGCAGAAAAAGTTCAAGAAGCTTAGAATGATATAATGAATATAAGCACAGTTACGCAATATACACACGTTGTGCGGAAAAAAAGAAAATTATTTTTATAGCTGTTTTTTAAAAAATGTGGAATATATTTATACAGTTTTAACGCATTTAGGTAATATATTTGCAGATATTTGCTATCTAAGAACCGAATAAAAAAGAAATCTGTTTTTGAAGATGACTTTGACAACTGTTGCTGGGCCAACAAGTTTCGGACGACATATTGATGAGCGGATGATGTATAAAATTTGAATAATGAACTCCGACATGAAAAAAATTAATAAATTAAACTCGGATCATAATTATAACAATATAAACTTTCAGTGGCTAGCTAATTAGAATTGTATTTGACATTTTTGTTTTCAATTTTTAATTATTACAATCAATTATATTTCAATGTTCATTGGACGATTTGCTATATTACTATCAATCATATCTCACGTTAAATTCGATGACTATGATTTTCACCTATTTATTATAAGAAAAAATGCACGTGATTCTCGTGCTCTGAAACAAAATTAATTAAAATAATAAAAATAATAGTTTGGTCAAATGTTGTCTTTTTATAAATATATATTTAGATTACATTGTGTACATTAATTTATCGAGGAAGGAAAATTGTAACTTATTAAAATGTATTTTTATCACTTTATTTGTTATTTAGTGTAATATAACATTTTAGTGTTGTATAAATTGTGTATCGTTTGTTTTAGCCGGTGTTAACTATGTTGATTTTGGTGTGATTGTCTTATTTAAAGGAACAATATATTTTGAAGTTGAAATATTGGTTATTTGGAATCAGTTGAATCCCTGTTAGAGCTAAATGCATTTCACATAATATTATTTTGTTATATAAAGTTATTGTTCTATTTATAGTTAAACTTAAGTCATTTTTACAGTGACACTTATTTTAATTGCTTTTGTCAGTTTGTTGTTTTCAAAGTGATCATTTTCAAATTCAATAGTTTATTTAGTTTTTAGATAGTTTATTCATATGTTTTTAACATTCAGTCATTCATTACATAAGTGTATAAAATAGCATAAAATGTGAATATCTGAATGATATGTTTATCAGTTAAAATCATTCCGATATTTATTATTATTCTAATAGTTTTATATCTATTAGATACCTTTCAATGTAAGGTATGTTACTGTTAGAAAACATCTGGTTGAATATACTAATGTATAACGTTAATATATATACTGTATATATACAATATTACTTTGTTAACATAATATACTTGATAGAACATATGTAACTCTCTGTTTTTGTTTCTGACTATGGAACATTGTATGTGTCAAAATTAACTTTAGATAGTATTACAATGTGTTCTACATATCTATATATGTATACTTGAAACGTGTCATTTCTTAGTTGGTTTGGTTTAAACATATTTATTCAACAAAATATTTAACAAGTGAACAATATTTACAAAGTGCACTATGGGATTGGTTGATATTGAATGATATAATTTTGAAAATGACTTTACTTACCGGATCGGACAATGATGGCGGCGTGTTGTACCCTGACTGATATGACATGAAGTTCGACCGTAGAGTCCACTTATCATAACAAAAATGGTTTCAGGTTCGAATCTCTGAAAACAACTAGAACAAGTTTCTTCTTCTTAATGTAACTTTAATTCCTTGTTGAACGATCTCACTTTTTCCCCTTAAAGTTTTATGGTGCACTATTTAATATAACAATAAATCACCATTCACTTAATATCGTCAGGTATTGTCCAGGCAATAAATGAAAATATATCCGTCAAAATAAATAAGATACGCAATAAATCAAACTGCAGCGATTGTTTTTAAAATGAAACGTTCACGAAGAGAGACAATAGTGATGTCACAAGTTGAACAGATCACTGTACATGGCTATATCGGTAAAACTGTTTATCCGTATGAACCATGTATCTAATCATAGCTTTATATTTGTGCTTAGGAGATTAACATATCGCCCGTTTTGATTTTTACAACGTTGTTCACGCTATAGCCCATGTTTCACTACTTCATACAAGTAAACTACAAGCGTCAACACGATTGGCTCATGTTTAACCAACCTATTTTCCGATTGGCTGACACTGCGCGGCTTTTATCACGTACGCGCCGTGAAGATAGAAATAATTAGCAAGCTCCGCCTCTGGGCGTTCGCTTCAGCAGTGAGTTTTAGTTTTCAGATATTTTCTTGGTTTTAGCGAAATATAATAACAGGAGAGCGAAGGCTGCTTCAAAACTACTATAAAACTCATAATAGTAAAGAGTCGGATAGCTTTTTCAATTGATGTCAAAAGAGGGCTTTATTTAATTACATTAAATGCTTTTTAGTTATATTTTGTATGCAAAGTCAATAGCATTAGCTCGCCTTTTCGCATAATAAAGAAGGGCTTAGTAGGAAAACAAGATCAAGGGCATGAATGACGCGGAAGCGATGCTAAGTGGGCTTGATGGAGACAATGGGAGAGATAATTCAACAATCTTGTCTGCGATATTGCCTCTTATACTGGAACTGGCTTGTAATCCAGCGTGGTGCTCTAGGGAGGCAGTCGCTACAATACCCTTGTATTGTTCCAGCGCTTAATCTTCAAGTCTGTCAATCACTTATCCGAAATTAATTACACAAGGTTCTCCATAATACAGAGTCTTTTTGTGACAAAATTAAATCTCGTTTTTTGGTCACTTTGTTAGTTTATTGAATACAGTGGAGTACAAATATTAGATGAATATCAATTGGTTTTGTAATAATGCATTTTTAATACGATGTATCAAAGCTTTCTTAAAGTTTATAATTATAAATATTTTCTTAAATCTTCATGAAAAAAGGGCGTAAAAGCATAAGACTCCCCTACAAGATCGTCTATACTTCTCAGATTTATAAGGTATTATAACGAGATTCATACATGTAAAATAGATATGTTTATTAGATTTTCATATAACAAATTTTAAGTTGTGCTCCGCCCAAAGGAAAAGAAAAAAATCCATTGTAATTAACGGTTTCTTTTTATCAAATCATATATTGTGAAGAAATATTTTTGGGAAGTATACGCAAAGTTATATTTTTTCATACAGAGAACATGCATGGCGTTAGCGTTTGTTGTTAATTTACAGTGCAAAATTTACAATACCAATGTTTGTATCGACATTGTATTATGAAAGACTGGGGTTGTTTTTTTTACATATTTTCTACAGTTTTGCAGTGTTGTCTTAAAGGAAATACAAAGGTTGTTGATAATATTTTGTTTAGTATATTTATTCATTACATAATTTAAGTACATATTCTACAGTTGTCAAAATGCATGTACAAAATGTTATCTTAGAGGCGATTTGAGTGATGGAAAATATACCAAACTTAAAGAAATATACAAAAAATATACATGTAATGATAGAAAGAAATAATTGATTTGAAATATGGTACGATAAGAATAGATAAATGTGATTCTGGTTGTTCCTATTCATGTATAAAATGGTATTCTAGAGACAATTGTGGATTAAAATTCAAACAATAATAATGATTAATAATAACAAAAACAAATCAAATTAAATCTTTATAATTGACAAAAACATGCAACATGTTTCTGCACATGTCATTGGCCAAGTTACTTAAAAATCTCCTCTGAGGTTAAAAAGCCTAAAAGCATAAAATTTGATTTTTTTTAAATAGATCAACTGGGACACTCAAAACAGAAAGTTTAAGAAATATACACAGAATGAAATGAGAATGATATTTTTGTGCTTGTTTATTCCGATTTGTGTTGGCACAACGCTTTTCAATCTTGGATCAATTGTCAGAATTAGAATAATCATTCTTGAAAAAAAACAGAGTGAGCAAATGATTTGAAATTTGCACACAAGTCTAGACCTACATTAATCTCGAAAAATTATTTCTAGTCCCGTCATCCTTAAACTTCAAGGACCTTATACTTAAGACTTACCTCAGACTTTACAAAAAAAAGCATGGCATTTAGTCAATGCAGTAATGAACATTTAAAAAATATTTAAATCAAAAATTATAGTACGACTTTGTCACTTCAGTGTTTTTATATTTTTCTGTTCCTCTGGGATCATTTAGTCCAGCACTGTTAAGTGTTGGGAATCGAATACCGCTCAAGTCGGTGCTAGGGGGCGTAAGGGATGTTGCACTTTTTCATTATCCCTCATGTACAGCCTCAATCAAACAGAGTCTGTAATTTCATGTAATTTTGCTGGTTTTATTGCTTCCGGTGCATCACTTTTTTCCAGATATGTGTACATATATTTGTATAGTTATAGCAAATTGTATTTAGTGCATTTAGCATACTTAAAAATAATAATTTGCTGTAATTATAAATAGTTAGTTTAAACATGTTCCATTTCTATATACTATAATTTAAATCGGCTGTCTACTATATCTGAACTAGCTCAAAGTAATTTTGGATCAATTAAATGTGGACGGAGAAGTGTAATCAAATAAGAAAATGCTAAATAGTTTACTTTCACCTAACAGAAAACATGTTGTTATTTGATATAAATACATATGTATTTTGGTTAATTCGAGTGGCTTTTAAATTTCAATGGATTTCACAACATTTACTATTTTTGACCGTTTTTAAAAACCTTATGTTTTCGGCAACAGTACTTTGAATGAAAAATTCTATAGCTAGGTATAAAGCATATTATCTAAAGTGTGTTTCTTAAAAAATGGATTAAACAAATAGTTACTTTTTATAATGAACACGTTCATTTTGTAATCATTTTAAGAGATTATAACTGCATTGTGCTGTCGTTTACTTAGTACCGGTGGGCAGTGAGTGTTATGTTTTTGAATAACATTTGCATTCAATCGATGTATTTGTCTACATTACCCCTCATGTCTAAGTGGCTGCTTAACAAAGTTATATTTATTCAAGTTGACAAAGAGACACGTGTATATTACAAATAGTGTGCTTTATAGACTTCTTCAGTTAGTTAAATATATAAATATTTTTAAAGATTTACAATTCTTATGGTTAAAGCCGTTAAGGTCACACTTCTCGGGGGAAAATCTTTGCCTCCGTTTACTTATATTAATAATTACAAGTGAAAATACATACAAAATATTCTGATATTTAACTAAAAGATACAACAATTAAGCATTCCACTTTAGTTCTTATTTTCACAAATGTTTTTCAGTGTAAAATATTCAGTTTTCAAAATTTCTAATTCAAAGGCATTCCGTTTTAAAATCACACCAACATTGTATTTTTGAAAGCGTATTAATTAAAAATTGTATTTTTCAGGGTCTTTCAAATATTTAAAAGACCAGTACTTGAAAGACCCTTTATTTTAATAAAAAAAAATCTTTAACTTTTCGTCGGTATTATTTCGTGTCAATCTGAGTATTAAAGTCAAATACGTTCGAGATATGCGTTCAACTATTAAAAATGTATAAGGAACCAATTAAAGTAACACCACTGAGGTCCAAGAGCCTGAAACGTAAAGTTTGAATCTCTTCCTAAGATCACTTTGGACACTTAAAACAGAAAGATATGCAAAAGATAGTAAAGACATATACTTAGCTCAGACATAAATTGAAAATCATATTGTTGTGCTAATTTTAGCCAAATTTCAGTGAAAATTATTGCAACTCATTTCATTTTAGCCCTTTTTTCACAATTAGAATAACTATTTTAATACGGAGTTAGCGAATGATCTGAAATTTTGCACGTCAAAACCTTCATTAAATGTAAATTCAATCTCGAAAAATTATTTCCAGTTCTATCAAGTCAAAAGACTTCAGTAGAGTCACTGTAAGACTGTAATATGCAGATTCATAAAACTAAAAGCTAATCAAATTAAAACAAAATTAAGCCTTGTTTTGTTGTGTGGTTTTTTTTGAATTGCCATTCTAATGAGCAAGTAAGACAACAATTTAGTGGGATTTGAGCTAAAATTAATGAATCCCCTTACGCACAATATCATCTACACATAATCAAATTAAAATTTGACTCATTTGTACTTTATTGCCAGTCAGATCTTGAAAATCTAATAATATATCAATTATTTTACTGATTTTATTCGTAAAGGACGGTTCGTTGGCATTTTCGGAAGAAAAACAACATAACTCAAACAAGTTGTTTTTATGTATTAGCTCCTATAATAGCATTCATCTGAATAAAGATATCATTTATAATTACTAATGACATTAAAAAGTCGGTCCATCCTGAAAATTCATTAATTAAACATCAATTAAAAATGATTTGAATGGTATTACAAAAAATAAAATAAATTTCATTAAATGGCGCTCATCTTTATAAATTCCCTCTATCATAGAGAGGGGATTATTTCAAATGCATAAAGAATTATTTTTGAATGAACTCCCCGCTCCTGTTTGCTCATTTTTTCGAGTGTTTACTTTGTAATTAATTTGCAATGTTTTGTATCAATCGATGGTTTAGCTCTTGTGTGAAATCATTATGATGTAACCGGAGAAAGCTGGAACAGAGATTTTCAGACTTCCGATCATATCATGAGTGTAAATAAAGCAACCTAACTCCAAGTTAACAGATTGGCAAACAAATCTCAATGCAGAACAAACATTGTAATGGCGCGGGTATTAAAACTACCATTGCCTATTTTTCTGCCAACTAAAGTGAAAACAAATGACTTTTCAGACTTCTAAGTAAATAATATCTTGCGTTAACACCTGCATGCAGATGCATGGAAGTGGTGCTTGATAGATGGTAAATGAGCATTTTGTTTGTTTTTATTTTATTTTAAATGTAGGTCTCGTTTCACACACAAAAAAAAAGCCCCAGAAAAAAACGCTAAAGCGGTGACAGCTTAATTCGGGTGTAAATTCTTCGAGGCGGGGATAGCACTCCGGAAAGGTGACGTGTTAAGTTGGTGACGAAACCTCTATGATCTGCTAATTAACGTAGCTCCTTTGTGAAATGTGAATAGTTAATTTCAAATACCGGTAGTTTTTTATTTATTTTATGCGATGGACTGATTTAATTTATATTAATTGAATAGTAATTTGAATAA